CCAGGAGCCGAGGAAAAGGCTCCCTAGAACCTCCACCCGAGGCCTCCCCGAAACCCTCAAGCAGCCCCGTGATAAACCCCAGCAGCCCCCCCCCTACCCCCCTAAGTCCAACAGCCCCCCTTACCCCCCTAAGTCCAACAGCCCCCCTTGCCCCCCACCCCCAGTTTCTTCCTCCCTCACTCCCCTAAGTTCCTTTCCTGCCGAGCTGAAGTTTTGGATCTGTGTCCCAGTCTCACTATCTCCTCTCGGATCATAGCTACTCCCTCCCTCCTCCTCCTCCCTCGCAATCCCTGCCAATGCGTAGACTACTGGCGACTTGCTGTGCCGTCACACGAGTTCTTGTGGAATGGCGGTGGAGGAGCATGGGGATTGGGAGGGATCTGGATCTCACACATCCTTGGCGCCCGAACTGCTTGTGCGCGCTCTTGTTTCTGTCTCTAGATGCCACAATACCGTCTGCAGTTAGCTGAGTGCCGCACTCTTCTGGCAAGCTTAGAGCTTCATCAGAGTCCCAATCCAAAATCCTCCTCCTAACCACCGCCGCTCCTCCTCCTCCTGCTGCTCCTCCTCCTCTTCCTCCTCCTCCTCCTCTTCCTCCTCCTCCTCCTCCTCCTCCACCCTCGCGGGCGTGCAAACAACACCCAGCCACTACAGCTGCAACATTGCCTACCGAAAGCCCTGGACGTCTCTACTCCGCTGGGCGTCGGCGGAATGGCGTAAGCCACTTGAAACAACGTTCGGAGGTCAGCGCGGATTCCTTGGATCGGCGCTGCCCCCGCTCCCTGGCGCGCGGAGCGCGCCAATGGCGGCGCCGGAGGCGCCGCGAGGGGGGGGGCCAGATCCGATTCAAGACATCCGGGCGGAGCTCCGAAGCAGTTTCTGTTTGTGGCCTCCTTCCTCTCTCCTTCGCATCTCGGGTTCGGCGAAATCGGCGACGACGCCGAGGACGACGGCGGTGGTGCCCGGTGGCGGCGGCCGCGACGGCGAAGACGCCGCGAGGCCCCAGCGGCGACGACGAGGCGGTGATGACCGCAGAGGGGCCGAGGCCACCGCGGCTGCTGCGGCTGCTGCCGCGGCGCCGCGGGCTGCGCTGGCGGGGCCACCGCGGGCGGACGGGCGGACATCGCCTGGCAAGGCTCGATCTCTCGCGCACGCGCGCGGGCCCGTGTCCCTCCCGCGACCGCCGCTGCCGCTCCGTCGTCGTCGTCGTCGTCGTCGTCGTCGCCGTCGTCGTCGTCGTCGTCGTCGTCGTCGTCATCGTCGCCGTCGTTCTGTCATCGTCGGCGGTTCCGTCATGGTCTCGTCGTCGTCGTTGTCGGCGTCGTAATCATCATCGTCGTGGTCGCGTCGTAGTCGCCGTCGCCGTCGTCGTCGTCGCTCTGTCGTCGTTCCGCCTTGGCTGCCAAACAGGATCACACTGGAAACGGTCCACGAATCGCTAGAACTCTGTATAGCGCGCCTGGGCATCGCGCCCGCGCACGCCTTCCCCGCTTCCCTCCCGCGGCCGTGGAGGAGGAGGAGGAGGAGGCGGAGGAGGCGGCGGCGGCGGCGGCGACGAAGGACGCCACGGGGCGCCCTGAGCCCTGAGCATGCGGCCGAAGGACGCCACGGGGCGCTCTGAGCAAACGGCCAGGAAGAAGGAGCAAAGATGCAGGCGGAGGAGAAGGACGGCGGCGGCGAGGCGGTAGGAACGGGTGCCAGAGGTCGCCCTGATGGGGGCCCAGAGAAGGCGGCCATGCAGATGAGGAGAAGAGGAGGAGGAGGAGGAGGAGGAGGAGGAGGAGGAGGAGGAGGAAGAGGAGGAGGAGGAGGAGGAGGAGGAAAGGGATCGGGAGGAGGGGGAGGCGGGGGATCGGGAGGAGGGGGAGGAGGGGGAGGAGGCGCCAGAGGACGAGGGCACGTGTGAGACGGAGGCTACGGCCCGAAGGCGGCCGACGAAAAGTGGCATGCTCGTCGTGGCGCCTCCAAGGCATCGGCGCCGAAACCGCGCGTATAGCCCTTTCTTTCCTCATTAGGCGCTAGGCGTTGCCAGCACGACGAGTGCAGGTGGCCCTCCTGACCGCCCTGCGGGGGGAATGGCCTAACGTTCGTGAGCCTGGCCTGCCGCCGCTGCCGCTCCGCAGCTTTCGTCTTTGAAAGCCTCCGAAACCTCGCAGAACGGGGGCCGAGTAGATGGGGTCGGAAGATCGCGCCCCACCGCCGATGCATCGACGATGCATCCGCATCGTCGGCGGTGCATCGGCGATGCTGACGTGGAGAAAAAAAAACTCCACGTCGAGCCGCATCTCGGGAGAACACAATCCTACCTCGCTTTTGACCACCCTCGCTTCCAACAGATACCAACATATGCAAAATTGCAGCCTGTACGGGTCAGGCCGCTTGACGAGGAGGCGCGTGGTATGGTTTGGTGTTGCATGGAAGCGAAAGCGGGGTAGGTAATTCACGCTCTGAGCATCGCCGATGCATCGCCACATGATCCTCCGACCCCATTTGCTCCGACCCTGGGGACGCGGAAAGGGCGGGGGAGGAGGAGGGGGAGAAGCACCACCCCCATTAGCGCAGCAGCTCCTGGGTGACGAAGGACCGAAAGGCGCCCTGCCTCGCTCTTGCGCGAATGGCCTGGGCGGCAAAGGATCGGGCTGCTAGCCTGCCATGGCACCCACGCCTGCGGGGCGCATTGAAGGCAGAGAACAAAATATCGATGGCGAGAACACAAGCATGCATCTGCTCGCGTGCGGTGCGAGGGGCGATGGCCTCCGAGACCGGATGCCCATGGACAGCAGAGGGCCAAAGATGGGGCAGAAAACATGCGAGAGGGTCAGAGCCCCATCCTTCAGGCAGCTGAGGAATGAGAGCCCTAAGGGCAGGTGTGGAGGCTGGGCAGCTAAAGTAATGGCGGATGCTGTCGGTGCATATTTGAAAGCATCCAAACACACATCGACCCGTCGCTTGCCTAAAACGACGGGTGGTCGGCCAGGCATTGAAATTTGTTTTTAGGAGGGCTGTAATCAGGAAACTAAGCAATTGATTGGCCATCACGTTTAGTCTGAGAGATATCAAAGCAGCATCAGCACGGGTCGCATCCTTATTCCAATAGCGTAGACGAGGTAGCAGGAGTTGATCGGGAGCCATGCGAGGGCGATGTTTCATCAGAAATGTCGAGATAGCTTTTTGAAGTTGCTTGGGGGGCTTGTCAACTGGATCATGAGGAATAGCGAGGTAATGATCATATTCTCGTCGCATATGGTACACGATGGACTGCTTATGATATGGGTGAAGGGGATGAGCTGTGGCATATTCATCATCGTTCCGGGCGTCTAGGTAGAGCTGGTGGGTCTCGGCAAACTTCTTACTCCTAAAGGCAGTTCTGAGCGTGGCCGCGCGACATAGGATAGAGACGCTTCGACATCCCACGCAGAGCCCAAGTTCACGAAAGTAGAACATCGCTCTCGGAGGGAAAGCGTGCCTCGGCGCTCTCGGCAGAAGCTGCTGCGCTTCCCGTTCTCGACGCAGAAGTTGTCGGCAAGGAGGAAAACTGGCCCACGTGAGAAACTACAAGGAGGGCATGAACATTATACGCCCGAATGGACTGAACGAAGCTCTGACCAAGCCCCCGCACATCCTCGGTGCGGGCACTGAGTTTTCGGCCCACAGCGGACCAGGCATCCACGGGGCCACGGATACCCACCGCGACGCCCAGGAGGGTTCCCGAGCGCTTAATCTGGAATTGGGAAACGTTCAGACCATGACCGCGGAACGCGTTAACGACCTTCTCGCGGTCGTCTTCGTTCAGGGCGACAATCACACACTTCTTCAGATTCAGATGTAGGCCCGTAACCTGACCCGCAATGCATAACCTCTTTATGATGAATGGTAGCGGCTTATACAGATGACGAGCGGCAAGGGGTAAATCTTCTGCAAACGCACTGAATTCGAATTCGAGGCGGGGTCAAAGTTGGGGCACATATCGAAGAACTGGGCCCAGGATAAGCGCAAAGAGGGCGCCGCTCAATGGGCGCCCCTGTTTCATGCCCCGAGACGCCCAACATGATTGGGAACCATTACCCATGGAGGTTTCTGTCCAGACACTTGGTACAACGCAGAAATGGCAGTCACCAGGAAACACGGCAAACCCATCTTCGAACGCACGAAACTGATCCAGCCCTGGAACACTCTCGGGAACGCGCTCTTGAATCGAAGAGCGTGAAACCACGCCCTTCTTCATGCAGCGCTGCGCCCCAGGGAGTCAACATGCCACCTAAAGAGATGATGTTATCGTTCTTGAGCCTACCTTTAACAAAGCGGCGCTGAATCTCACAGCAGGTGCCACTCAAAACTGGCGCGATCGCCGCGCTCATCAGCTTGTTGTCCGCGTTGGACAGAGACAAAGGCCGCGTCGTGCTAGGGTCCCTCACCTCCTCCCCAAAGTTCACTACCTCCCCCTTCGGTGAGAATGCGGCTCGGCAGTAATTGAAATTGTCCTGCAGACGGCCTCCAGCCAAACAGTACTCGTAAAGCTGGTAGAGGGCTTCGTTGGCAACGGGACCAGAATTTTGCCATGCAGAATGCGGGATCCCATCGGGGCCAGCTGCGGTATCTTTCTGCTTGGACTTCAGATTGTTCTGGAATTGTCCTTTACTGAGCTTCCAATCAAAATGCTGATGTGTTTTATTCTTGAACTGGCCGCCGCTGCCGTCAACGCGCTGGATGTAGCTGTGCAGCGGGTGCTCGTCAGGGAGCCCAAACTGGAGTGCAACTAAGGACTTGGCCCCAGTGCTCGGAAAGCTTCGCTGCTGCTTCACTGGGGTCGGCGTGTACTTTGCCATCTGGACCTTTGACCCCCAGCAGGCCTAACCCGAGGACGCTGAGCAGATGCAAGACGACGGGCACGCTTAATCGCTTGCTCGGCTTTCTCCGTACCTTCTCCCAATTGCTGTAGGATCCCCCCCTCCTCCTCTGCACGTTGCGCCCGCATAAGTTCTGCGGGGTGCGCGTGGAAGGCATCGTGCCCGAGCCACGCCATCGCTGCTGGGTTGTAGAAAGTAAACAGATGCCTGCGCCCGAGACAGGCGCGCCGAGCACGCCTTTGACTCTGAGAGCGGCCGGCCCGAACCAGCTTCAACATGTAGGCAGTCTTCTCTGCTTTGGTGACTGCGCCAGAAATGTCAATGTGTTGGCGGACCTGGCTTTGTGAGTAAAGGAAGGCTGTTCGACCTCTGAGAACCTCGGGAACAAGGTGTCGAAGACCGTGGCGAGCCTCGACGGAGAAGGAGTAGGGCTGGGAGGTGTAGGATAGCATCTAGCTTCACCATGCTCGTGAAAGTTGAAGTACCCGACTATCGCGCCAATGCACTGCGACTGCGGAAGCGCCTGATAGGAAAGGAAGGTGAGAAAGGTGCGAGCATACCTTTCCGACCACCCGGGGTCAAGATGAAGCGCTGTAATCTGAAGACACCCACAGGTCCCACGACAACTCAGGGTAAGCGCACGTCCAGGATACAGGGGAATGGCGTCGATCGCGTCGAATTTCGCAGCGAGGTTTTTGCGAGCCAGAATAATGATCCCCCCAGCGTGCTCATCTTCGACGAACGAGCCGAAGATCTCAAACCTTGGGTAATCATGTTCCAGAGCGTCACGATCCCCTTCCTGACCGTGGGTCTCCTGCACAACGATTACATCCATTTTCCTAGCAAGCCTGGCCAACGCTTTGAATTTCTTACGAACATGGAGGAAGGATGAATGAATCGTGATAAAGCGTATGTGCATTCCACGAGCACACTCGCAGCACTTGAGCAGGCAAAAATGGTTTTCGGCTGGCGTGCGCAGCCGACGAATACGAAGGCTCGTCAGTACCCCAAGACGAGCTGGAAGCTGGTGCATCACTGGTTGATGAAGCAGAAGCAGCAGGCTGTGAAGCTGGCGTCGACGACGTCGTGCCGAAGTCGCTGGACTCCTCCTATTTATTCACTGTCGGCTCTGAATGCTGCGTCCGCTGAGTGCGACAAACGTGCCTCCTAGATGTAGAGGCCGCGCTGGTTGGCATCGGCCATGATGGCCTGGACCTTCTTGATGTCCACCTGGAAGTAGTCGCAGGTCGACTGGTCAACGTCGAAGGTGCCAGCCGCGTGGTTGACCTCATTGAAAAGCACCAGAGGCCATGCGCCCGTGCCATTGGACCAGTGGATGGAGCCTTTGTAGCCGTTGCGGATGGGCTTTGAACCTGGCACGAAGCTGGGACTGCTGGCGACGACCTCGGCACTTGGGTCCCATACGCTGCTCTGGGCGCGTTGTTTTGTGCGAGCATCAAGGGGTAGATCCGTGCGGGCCTTCATCGCGTGCAGCGTGCCGTCCCTCCACATGTTCTGCGATCCATGGGAGAGGTCTGTGAACTCCTTAGCGAGCGCTTCACTGGTGAATGTAAGGCTATATGACTGACTGATACGATGCTACTGAGGTGTGACGTGGTTGAGCATAACCGCGGTCAGGATCTGGTCTTTGAAGCTGACGAGATGCGCCTGCCTCAAGGAAGCTAGTACTGGTCGAGGAAACGTACCTATCCAGCGCCTGCACGGGTCATACTTGTACGATGATGAATGCACTTTCTGAGTTGGCTCACCCTCGCCCTCGACTCGCCTGGACTTGGGGCGCGGCGAGGACGAAACCCTGCCGACCCACGAGTCACTGGCCCCCACTGTCGAAGCAGCCGAGGAGCTGCCAGCACATGTAGATGATGCTTGAAGTACTTGAACAGATCGCGAATGTTTTTGAAGCTGACATGAATGGCGGCGATGTGCTCTGACTGGGCCTTGATCCCCGCCGTGTTCTCGTCGATGCGCTTGTTGACGGCATCTGTGAGCACTCCGAATTGTTCAGCGAAGCTGGCTTGCATCTTGGCGCCGAGATCAGTGACCTGCTTCTCCAACGCTGCTGCCAAGTGAGCTTGCATGGCCTGCACCAGCCCCTGCATCTGTTTTCACCCATCACTGGAGCAGGTGCGAAACGAAAGAAAAGTGAAGTGACCGCCTGGCTTTGACCCCACAAGACAGGCTACCTCACTCAAGTGGCCGAAATGCGCAGGAGGGGGCAGCACAGGGGCTGTCCCGCGTACCCTGCTTGCCGATGTTGGCACTCGAGCCAACATGGCAACGGAGGAGGAGGAGGAGGAGGAGGAGGAGGAGGAGGAGGAGGAGGGGAGGAGGGGAGGGGAGCGGCAGGGGGAGGGGGAGCAGGAGAAGGAGGAGGAGAAAAAGATGAGGAGGAGGAGGAGGAGGAGAAGGGGGATGAGGGGGAGGAGGAGAAGAGGAAGGGGAGGAAGGCCCCGTCTTATCCGACCCCATCTTATCAGACCTCATCTTGGAGGCCTGGAGCCTGGACCCCGCGCCCGCTCACGCGCGCGGGCCCGACTATCTCCTGCGGCCGCCGCTGCCGCTCCGTCGTCGTCGTCGTCCTCGTCCTCGTCCGCGTCCTCGTCTTCGCCTTCGTCTTCGTCGTCGCTGTCGCTGTCGGGGGTTCTCGTCGCCATGGTGGAACGCGGGAGGGGTCCGGGGATCAGATTTGAGTGGATGGCGGTCCCCGCCGCCGCCATCGCCGTCGCCGCGAACCGTCGGGACGCAGGAGGCATCTCCAGGATCATCCTCATACTCCCCCCTCCCGTCCTCCTCCTGCCCCTGCTCCTCGTCCCACCTATTTGATTGTTTTGTTGCTTATTGTTTGTGTTGATTATCAGCATCCTTTCTTCTTCGCTTCTCGTCGCCCTTCCTTTGTTTTTTCCTTCCTTGCTTTTTCCTGCTTCTCGTGATCCTGCACTCGCTCCAGCCTCTCGCCGCCCCCTCCCTCCGTCCGACGTCTCCCCTGCCCACCTCCATTCCCCCCCCCCTCCCTCTTCGCATCCTCCCTCCTCTCGCCTCCCCCTCCCTCCCATCCCTCCCCTCCATCCCGTTCCTCCCCTCCCTCCCCTCCCCTCCACTCCGTTATCCCCCTCCCTCCCCTCCCTCTCCGCATCCCCTTCCCCACCTCCCCTCCCACATCCGTTCTCCCCCCTCCCGTCTCCCTGCTGCAGACTCCTCCACGCTCGCCATGGCTCGGACGCACTTTCCCCGTCCATTATGCTTCGTGCGCGCATTTTTTTGTCGTAAGGTGGCCTGAAGATTGTGCCCGCCACGAAAAACGCACGCCTTTTTTAACCAGAGCGAAGGGGCCCATCGGCACGGTGAGGAAACGACCGACGACGACGAGGAGGACGAGGGAAAGGTGGCGGGGGGCGACGGCAGCGGCCGGCGGCACGCTGCCTGGCCGCCGCCCTGCGTAGCGAGGCGGCGCGGCGAACATTAGACGAGCGCGCCAGGGCGCGCCGCTGGGCGGTCCCGCAGGGCCGCCTGCCACTCAGCTCCCTCGCCTCTGGCCCGCTGTGGCGCCATCCATAGAAGAATGGCCGCCCTCGGCGGCAGCGCTGGCGCCCACCTGGCGCATGGCCGGCTGGCCATGCGCGCCCAGCTCGGACGTTCGCAGTCTCGGACTCCGACGTGGAGCTTTTACCGTGGCAAACTCGTCCAGCGCTCTCGGCATCGACCTGGCGTTACCCCTTCTGAGCCCAGTGTAGCACTGAGGCAGGCTTAGCCAACCTCACTCTCTCTCTCTTTTCAGTGGCTGGGCAGCCCCCAGCCTTTCTCTCTTCGCTCGCCCAGCTCGGGGCCCAACCTCCGCACCAGAGGCAAGCGACCCAGCTTGGCCCCTTCGCGGCGACGTGGACCCTCCACGCCCGGCCGGCGAGCATCGCGTGCGCCGCCTCCGCCGTACCCTGCCGCTGCCCCGCGCGCGGCCAGTCCCTGCTGCCCAAGCGCCAAGCGGCGCCGCAGCGGCCGCTGCCGCGGCGCCGTCCGCCACTCGGGGGGGAACGACAGGGGGGGATAGCAAAGGGTAGGGTGGAGAGTGAGCTCACGTAGCTGATTTTCCCAGCGCCTTCCGGTGCCGGGAGGCGCCCATGTATCGAGGAATGGGCCCAGCGGCGGGGCCGAAACCAGCTGCATTTAGCAGATTTCGTACCCCCACCGTTCCCTATCCGCCCCTTTCGTTCGGCCGAGCCTCCCAGCTGGCCTGATGGAGTCCCTGGGCAAGACAGACAGGGCCCTGTGCCGGTAGGCCAACAGTAGCTGTGAGGCTGTGAGGACCGTCGCGCGACGCAGCTACAAATTTCACGTACAGGCCTTGAGACGCCTCGAGTCATCTTGGGAAGAAGAAAGAACGCTGAGGCGGCCCGGCACTGGTCCCGGCCAGCAGAAGGGGGGAGACAGGGGCCCCTTCGACGCCACGGCTGGACTCGGCTCGCAAAACTTGTTCGCTTCGACCCTGGGAGGGATCCAGGGAACGGATTTGGAAGAAAATTGTCGTCATCCCCCCTCTCTGGGTCACCTAACATCGCTGCGGTCTTGCGACGCCCCTCTGGAGAAGGGCAGCTCTCAAGCCCAGACTGAGATGCGCGAGTGACCTGGTCTCTTGACCGATCTTCTCTGGACTCCTGCAGCTCAGAACCACCTGGCCGCCTCCAGGATGGCTGAGGGGGCATCCCCGCAAAAAAGGCACGCGCAGATCAGCCTCGTGATGCGAATGTTTGCGCCATGCATACTTTCGACACCAACGTGGATTCATTCATGTACGTGTTACGTCCTTCTTTCGCTCCTGACCCCCCGCGGCGCGCCCCGTTCGCGTCGTGCCGTCCTCGTCGTCATGTTCGCTGTGCCCAGGCATGCCCAGGCCGTCGTCACCGTCACCGTCGCCGTCGCCGTCGCCGTCGCCGTCGCCGTCGTTGTCGCCGTCGTTGTCGCCATCGCCGTTGCCGTCGCCGTCGCCGCCGCCGCCGTCGCCGTCGCCGTCGTCGCCGGCGCCGGCGCCGTCGCCGGCGCCGTCGTCGTCGTTCTGTCGTCGTCCTCGTCGTCGTCGCAAGCGGCGCGGCCTCGGCCGCGGGGCCGCTCGAGGCCGCCGTCGCTCCCGGCGCCGGCTCCGCCTGCCGCCCGGGCGGGGGTCACGCAGCGCGCGCCCGCGGGGCAGCGGCGGGGCCCCACTTTGCGCCCCGATGGAGCCTCGATCCCCGATGGGTCCTCGAGTCTCGATGGATCCTCGACCGATCCTCGATCCTCGATGGGTCCTCGATCCTGGATGGGTCCTCGAGCCTCGGTCCTCTATGGGTCCTCGATGGACCCTCGATGCTCGATGGCTCCTCGAGCCTCGGCCGCCTGCCGCCCGCGGGGCTCTGCTGCCGCCGCCGCGGGCGTGCTGCTCGGCGACGCGCCCAGGTTGGGGAGCACCACCCCAAGGATTGGGCCGCGCGCACAGGAGGGGGCTGCGGGGCAGGGGGGAGGCCTCTCGGAAGGAGGCTGCGTCTTTTTCTGTTGACGGGAAGGTCGCGGAGCACGAAGCCTTCTGGCTTAGAGTCAGTGCCGAGGTTGGGAAACACACCCCCAAGGATTGGCCGCGCGCACAAGGTGGTTGCGGGGCAGGGGGGAGGCCTCTCAGAAGGAGGCTGCGTCCCTTTTTGTTGACGGAAAGGTCACGAGAGACCACCCCCTGCGCACCCCTGTGGTATCGATAAAATTCAGCGCCTGCCACGCTATCCGACCCTGGCACGCATAGGGGCCGCGGTGAGAGACCGCCCCCTGCGCGCCATCCCTGGTGTCGAGAAAATGCCACCGACCCTGGCACGCATAGAGGCCGCGGTGCGAGGAGCATGAAGCCTTCTGGCCTGGAGTCAGCGCAGCACGGCCGAAGAGGACAGAAAAGAGGCAGCAGAGGGAGCGCCACGCGCGTTCCTAGAGGGAGGCTGCTTCTTAGAAGAGGCGCCGGCCCCGCATTCATAGACAAGGTCCGCGCCGTGTGAGATACGTTCCTCAGACATCCGAGGGTACATTAGGGGCCCGACCACAAGAAACCCGACCATGAGACCCAAGGATGGCCATGGGTTTTTGGTATAGGAACGTCACGATTTCCATGGAAGAACCATTCTGAAACTCAAGAAGCCCAGGGCACCCCGGAAACAATCAGGGTGTCTCCTGGCATGGGCTTCCACTGTGGGACTTGTTCTATGCGCGGCCCCAGAAGTCCCGACCCCCATCGGCGGCGCGCACGAAGGGGTAGGGGGGATGGGGAACGCCTTCATAGAAGAAGGCTGCTTAGCAGGCGCTGGCCCTACATGTATAGACAGGGCCTACGGCTCCTGAGAAGAAGCCTCCTTCTAAGACGCCTTCCCCCCTCCCCCTACCCCCCTTGGCGCGTGGCCATGCTGCTCGGCGGCGCGGCCGAATGTAGGAGAAAGCGCCCCGCGTATCCGACGATCCATTTTTCGTAACCGGCTGTCATTTCCTCCCTCTCTCGGCGATTCCGAGGGGTGTGGTTTGCAAAGGGCGTGCTTTGCAATGCGCATCCTGGGGGGCGGGCGAGGACCTCGACAGCTTTGTCCGCCGCACCCCGAGAAGCTCCGACGAAGACAACGTGGTGCCCCCCAAGCCCCAACGACGCAAATCGCAAACCACACCCAGGCGTAACTACGCCCTTTGTTGTCGACGACGCTTCCCCTCTCTCTCTTTCTCTCAACTTCGACGCTCGCGTCCACGCGGATCTCTGCGCGGAGGGCGCGAGAGGAGGTGCTCTGCCTTGGTAGCGGGGCCTCCCATTATACCTTCTCCAACAAACGGTTATGGCTTGATTTGGGCCTCTCGGACACGCTGACGGGCCCCAGGACCATCAAACATGGATTTGGGGCGAATGGCTGGCCCCAAGGTCCGCGCATTGAAAAATCGTATCGGCGGATGCCTGGGCAAAAAGAGCGTGCATTCTCACAAGGATCATAAGCCGGCTCCGCTGCTACAAAGGGCTTCCCAGAGGCCACTGGGCCTCTGAGAAGAGACGCATATTTCTGAGAACGTCTGCCCCTTTCCACTTATCCCCCGGCGCGCGACCGACACGAACAGAAAACTGCGGTCACGATGTGAACGACGAAGACTATTATACTAAGATGTCTTGTTCGACGACTACTACAACTACGACTACTCAAACTATTTCTGGTACAGCGCCAGTACAACTACGACTACTACTAACACTGCTACTACTACTGCTACTACCACTACTACAACTACGGCAACAACTACTACTACTACTACCACCACTACTACTACTACTACTACCACCACTACTACTACTACTACTACTACTACTACTACTACTGCTACTTCAATTGCTAATACGACGACTACTACCACTACCACTACCACTACTACTACTACTACTACTACTCCTACTACTACTACTACTACTACTACTACTACTACTACCATTACTACTATTACTACTACTACTACTACTACTACTAGTACTAGTACTACGACTACTATTGCTACTATTACTAATATTACAACTACTACTACTACTACTACTACTACTACCACTACTACTACTATTCCTACTACTACTACTACTACCACTACTACTACTACTACTACTACTACGACTAC